TACTTACTCATGTTAAATTCAGATTACCTTTATAACTGGTGATATCATAAAACACTATTTTCATTTTCTGTACTGTTAATGGTGCGTTCATATTAAGTATAATATTTTAGAAGAAGAAATTGTTTACTTGCTAATGTTAAATTCAGATTACCTTCATAACTGGTGATGTAATAAACACTGTTTTCATTTTCTTTACTGTTAATGGTGCGTTGATATGATATTTAGTTTCATACTTGGCTGTTAAATTATTCACATGGTCATGTTAAAATGCAACGAATTTTACCTCCATAAGTAGTGATGTGATATTTGCATAATCATTATCATAAAAAGTATATTTAATTTTTTGACTACTAACGTTGATTAGTAGTATCATAAATGTGAACACCCACGAGGTGTACCTAGGCATGGAGCCGCGAGAAGACCAATTTGCCACCAAAACCTGGATCATCGAGGTGTGTGAACTGTACTTTCAGTCACACCGGTTGGGAAACGAAGCCAATAATACATGATCTTGCAAAAGTGCAAGGAACACAACAATCCAGAAATCATTTACAGAGAAGTTGATGAGGTTGTCAACAACTTCCGGGGGCCGGCTAAGGCAGGGCATATGGAATCCTCCTACACTGTTGGCTTGCTAGTGCTGGTGACTCCTACGGAGGGACAATATGATGCAATGGAATTGTTGTGCCATCTAAGAAAAACGAAGAAAATTGACATGCAAGCATGCAGGGCATCAATTATGAATTGACTGATGAGGTATACAATTTCGGGCGTGGTGACTCCTCCAACTCTTGCAAAGCTAACTGATGACAGAAGTTTTTTTTCTTAACAGCATTAACTGTGAGGGTAATCGGGAGTGGTATTTCTCATGGGACTTGGCGGGTGACTACTCTGACACGGTATCTACAGGGGAAGTTTACCTTCTGTTTAATGTTTTTAATTCAAGGTCTGTTTATGGTAAGGTTGCCGACGTTTGTGGTTTTAAGTCATGTTTATGGTTTGAAGGTCTGTTTTTGTAATCGGTGCACTTTTAAGATCCAATTTAGTACACGTTTGTAGACGGTTGTGTTCCATAGACCTTTGTAGCTTGTGTGCATATGTTTTGGATGGTTTTGGGTCCTATGGTTTGACTATGTGTTCTGAAATGAGGAATTGCTGGTTCCGATTCCCGAAGCAGTCATTCATTGAAGATGACAGACACCCAAATGCCAGGGAGCTTGCGTGTTGTCAAAGCATGAGGGATTATTCTTTCAGTCAGACCGGGTCTGAGCCATCCTTGATCTTCTAAGATACTCTGGTGATCGTTTAATAACATTTTCAATTTCCCCACATTTCCTTATTTGTCCTGCATTTGAAACTATATTTGAAAGATAAAAAATAGTTTAATAAAGAAATCCAAAATTCTATTTTCACTAACATAATGATTTAAATATCGAATTTAAGGGGGGAAAATAAGTGTTGGGTTTTTCCCCTTAACATTCTGAATTTGTCATGCAATGTTTACGATTGTTGCAACAACAACAAAAATACAAAATTTCAATCCAATAATTGGAAATCCCTTTTGACTAACAAAAGGATTTAAATAGCGTATTTAACCAGAAACTCCTTGAGAAGTATAAGTCAAAACTCCTAACGGAGTATTCATCCCGATACATACTTAGGAATTTTCCCCCATTTTTTATGAATTTTCCTGTATTATTTACGATTTTCTGAAAAGAAAAAAAAAGGGAATAAAATGCACACGGAATACCAAAATCCGTTATTGTACTTTCAGTAGAAGTATTCATCCCGATACATACTTAGGAATTTTCCCCATTTTTTCTGAATTTTCTTGTATTTTTTATGATTTTCTGAAAAAAAAAAAAAAAAATAAGATGCCAAGTGGCGGAGCTGGAGTGGGGAGCTGCAGACCTCAGCGACACGTAGCGCATTCCCATGCTGCCACACGTCCCTTTTCAAATTTTTTATTCATTTCCAATTAAATATTCATTTAAAAATCGAATTGAAGGGGGAAAAATTCCAAAAAAAATCCTCCGAACTCGTGACGACATTTCCTTCCATGAAATATTCCAAAAAAAGCCGCATGATATAAATATCCATACGGAATTAATGTGATCGAACAAATAAGAGTCTAGGGTTTGAAAAGTGTACTAGTGTTTGCATTTGCATCATCCTACAATGGGGTTTGTTCCCTAATTTTATTTTTCCCTCACACCAAAATCCGTTATTGTACTTTCAGTACGAAGTATTCATCCTGATACATACTTAGGAATTTTCCCTCATTTCTTCTGAATTTCTTGTATTTTTTAAGATTTTCTGGAAAAAAAAAGAAGAAGAAATAAAATACACACGAAATGCCAAGTGGTGGAGCTGGAGTGGGGAGTTGCAGACTTCAATGACACGCGGCGCATTCCCGTGCCGTCACACGTCCCTTTTCAAATTTTTTATTCATTTCCAATTACATATTCATTTAAAAATCGAATTGAAGGGGGAAAAATTCTAGAAAAAATCCTCCGAACTCGTGATGACATTTCCTTCCTTGAAATATCCGGAAAAAGGCCACATCATATAAATATCCATACGGAATTAATGTGATCGAACAAATAAGAGTCTAGGGTTTGAAAAGTGTACTAGTGTTTTCATTTGCATCATCCAACACTAGGGTTTGTTCCCCAATTTTATTTTTCCCTCACACCAAAATCCGTTATTGTACTTTTAGTACGAAGTATTCATCCCGATTTATACTTATGAATTTTCCCCCATTTTTTCTGAATTTCCTGTATTTTTTAAGATTTTCTGAAATAAAAAAGGAATAAAATACACACGGAATGCCAAGTGGCGGAGCTGGAGTGGGGAGCTGCAAACCTCAGCGACACGCGACGCATTCCCATGCCGCCACACGCCCGTTTTCCTTTTAATTTTTGTCTTACTTATATTTTCATTTGATAAACGCCTTTAAGGCTACGGTGTAGGGTTTACTGTGGAGTGTTTAGGGTAAAAAAATTATTAAAAATTCCCCACAACAATGCTTTTTATTTTCCCGCTCATGCATTAGGGTTAAAAAATTAAAAAAAAATTCAACTTTGGAATTTCCCGCTCACGAATTGTCATGGCCAAAAAAGGCGAATTCAAACTTCAAAATCCATATATGTTTCGACCAAAAATTAAAATTCAATTCCTTTTCAGAATTGGAAGAAAATAATTCCACAACAATGCTTTTTATTTTCCCGCTCATGCATTAGGGTTAAAAAATTAAAAAAAAATTCAACTTTGGAATTTCCCGCTCACGAATTGTCATGACCAAAAAAGGCGAATTCAAACTTCAAAATCCATATATGTTTCGACCAAAAATTAAAATTCAATTCCTTTTCAGAATTGGAAGAAAATAATTTGGGGGTTTTGACCAAATAATTGGAAGGGTATAAGTCTTCTATTTTCTTCATTTTCAACTTTGGGCAAAGCGATGTTGATTTCTTCATCAAACACTGAAGCAAAGTGGTGTCGGCACTGCAATGCTGAGATGGTGAAGCTAATTTCCAACTCCGAAAGGAATCTAGGCAGACCGTATTGGAAGTGCTTCACAACATATGTCAATATAATCTTCCCAAACCTCGTATGTAAAACTGAATAAGCTGTATATAATAAACAGTAATCCCAAACTAAAACTGATCCAGAGAAAAGAATATGGTCTGACATTGTAATCCAGACTGAAAAATGTAGTTTTGTTTGTTTTTTTTTGTAGGGAGCTACAAGGTTTAGTGGCTATGAATGGGTGATAGCAGCCAACACCCCAACTGAATTTGACATTCAAAACCAGGTGGATGTGAAGGTACTTAATGCATATGCTGAAGTAATCTATATACTGAAGGGCATTAATAAAATCCTCCTACTATTGTTAGTTCTATCATTTCTGAATTTGGCTGTTAAATTGATGAAAAAGTAAGAAATGTTTTGGGTTTAAGCATATGTTTTGTAATTTTGTAATCCGGACAGCTACATATAAGACGTGTTTGGAAATGTACAAATATAATTAAGCCTTCAGCACAATTAGTCAATGACAAACTTCAACATTTCATATGCCTGCATCTTAACTTCACAATCGTGTTTGCCCTAAACAAGATACATTACTATTTATTCGACATTTGAAAAGAATCATGCACCATTTAGGGTTTGGGTTCAGCATACTGTCAACAATATGTGTTGAGGGTTTCATACAGCTTGTATTTGAACAGAATATAAAAACTAATTCTTTAATTTTAAGTGAAAATGGGGAGTTGGATCATAAAGAAGACTTTGTTCCTTAACAAACAAGAAAACTACCTTTTCAAAACCTTACTAAAATATAAAGGGGAAAGATGCGCTCAAGCATGCGAAGAAAGCTCTTCAAGCTTCCCTTATATTATAGAAATGTTTGTTTTGTAACTCGTGAATATAAGGTCTGTTACCAACAAAATTGCCCAGCCGGTTAAATTAACTTTGCAAGTTCATATACTACACTACACCCACACAGTTAAAAACTTTGCAAGTTATAGTATCTCCTAATGAATCACAGCTACCAATATCCCTGCAACAACTGTACAGCGAGCTTCAACCGATAGAAGGGCATGACGTCATGGTAAATCTTGGCCAGGTCTACATTCGAGGTCAGAAATTCGCAGTATTTGAGGATGTACATCCCACAGTCGCCCCTGAAACATAGCTAAGAAGCTGTGATTCATTGTACAACAAATCCATTTCATAAGACAATGTGGTTAGGTGGAATATTACTCACCCGCCTACTGTTGGGGTGCATCCATGACACGAATAACTGGCCACTCACTTTTCAGAAGTAGACCATCGCCAATATACCCAGATTCATTTAACAACAGGGGCATCATTTTTGCCACCAGCTACACGGCCCGTTGGATGGCTTGAGTTCTACACAGATCTACTTTTGAATCATATGCCCTTATCTCACACTCTTTTAAATCGACAACAAGCAAGATCCAGTGCTTCTACCTTTATAGGTTGAAGGGCAAACAAACGCGATTCACAGACGACCATGATTTAGCCAACTTAGGCCCTTCGCCCCTGACCATTCCCAGTAGACCCTTGCTGTGCTGCCTGTACTCCTGTCCCACATACGCCTTCATTTGCTTGTAATCCAAGGCAGCACATTTCTGCATAGTGGCACACGAGTTATGCATCATAACGGATACCAAATTTGAAAATAAACAATGCTTAAGAAATAATATAGACCTGAAAAGTGGTGTCTAGTATCGTTCAGTCAGAACCTACCTAGTTGCCAAAGCTCTTGTGCCGCTCCTGTAGCAAAAGCAAGGCCATGTCTATGTTCTACATAAAAGGGTTGTTTCCATTATTAAATCAATAAATCACTACATAGCATAGGCATTTCGACAAAATCCCAAATCAATCAATGCTTACTGAGTCATCCAACCAACCATCCTTGGTTAGCAATCGAACAAAGAAGTTATACGAACCTTCCGTACTGTCTTCTCCACATAACCGCACATGTGAACTATATTTGTGAATCATTATTATTATCAATTTTGTTTCACCATTCACTCAATAGCTAATCATGATAAACAATTTACATTTCACTATGGACGGGCAGTGAGAACTTACTTTTCTTCTTGTCCCCATTCCCAGCAGAATTTCGCAAACTCCAAAAGGGAATCACGAGGAACAGGCCTTAGGGGGTCAGCAATTGTGTCCTTCGAAATATTGGGAATCTCCCGACCTGTCCATGAAGTTTCCCTCACCACAGCCTTTCGCCTCTTCATCGCAGGGCTAAGAATCTCACTCTTTCCCCGACCCCTCTTTTGCCGGACCCCAACTATAACATCTTCACCACATTCACCTTCAGCAGTGGACATGTCAATCTTTCGAGTAGGATTCGTAAGAAATTTAACAAGGGTGACACACACCACACCCGGATCATCCCAATTTATATCCGGGGGTGTATATTGCACCTCTTCTTTAGCACTTTGTACACACTGCTCTTTAAATTCGGCTACTCTACCATCCTTAATTTTATCACTCTCCTCTCCAGCATCCTCAGTCTTCTGACTCTCCTCTCCATCATCCTCAGTCTTATTCCTCTCCTCTCCAGCATCCTCAGTCTTATTCATCTTCTCTCCAGCATCCCCATTCTTCCTCGCGTCTGCATGACTGGTACACTTTTCCAAGTGTAAAACTCTCTCCTCTAGCTGACCCTTCTCACGGTGCAATATTGCAACCTCATTCCTCAACTGCTGCACAACAGAGTTTAACTCATCAAGGTCCTTACATACTCGCGGAGCTACAATAGGTGCATCACATTCAGGAACATCTGATCCCCAACTCAAATATGGTTGGCTCATCTCCAATTGACTTGGTCGTAAGAGGCGCAGTATAACAGGCTATCAAACACATAAAGTTAACAGGTCATACACAATACTAAACAGCTTTCCTCATGAAACGAACATAGTACTGAAATAAATTATTAACTACACACATGTTTGCTTTGAAATATATAAGCGTTCAGCTTTCTAAACTCAGGCACTTTATCCGTGGATTCCCACCGACAAATTCGAGGGACTAATGCAGGTTCCTCGATCCGCTTACAATATCTAAGGGGGGAATTCCCAATTCAACAATTAATTCATACACCCAAATCTACAACAAATAGATTATCAAAGTCAGTACTTAATTACGAACTAAAATTTTACAAACACTAATTTTGAACTACATCATACCTGGAGAGCATAGCTCAATCCCTTTATACTCCATCAAGGTCTGTTAATTCTTTTAGGCTTCTCATCTTCCACGTTTTTCTTCCATTTTCTCACTGAACTCCGCACCGCGTTTCTGCCTTTTTTATGTCCTTTTCCCTTCCCATCATTCACTTCATCACTCTCTTTCTTCCCGGGAGCAAACAACAGAGAATCTTGCAGAAAACTCAAAAGATATAGATCCCCATAGATAATCGTTGAATTCGTCCATTTTATGAACCAAATGTAAGTACTCCTCGTTTGTCTTCACATTTTGGGGTTTACCCATTATCACAAACTCCACAAAATACAGCAGTCCCAATTTGAACAAGTCCTCGCTTCCTCTTTCGGACTTTAGGAATGCATTTTCTAAGTCATTGCAAGTAATGTGACCCCTGTTGGTAAAATGCGCTTTCATAAATCGATTATGAGCATCCCCCTGGACATTATGTCAGGCTCTGTTCCACATTTCAGACCACTTATCAAACAAAAATCCTTTACACTGAATTGAGCAACATTGGACCCTATTGCATAACTAAGGCCCAACATGTCCTTAACACCAAGTCCTCCGACTTGCTGGAGTGCCAAAGCATGCACAATTTGACCACTAAATGCAATTTTATGGAGGCCCAACAGGTACCCAAAACAGCTCTCTCTAAATCTTTTCATAAGCGACTCTCTAAATCTTTTCAGAATTCACCCGTGCAGCATAGACCTCTGACTCCGGGAAACAAAGTTCAAACTCAGATTCCATTTTATAACTGCAACAAACACCTTTTGCTTAAGAAACAGAAGTGATACCTGCTCACAAAATTATGAACACATTAACATACATAAGTGATACCTACTCACAATATTATCTACACATCTTCATCACATTAAGATACATAATGAATACCTACAAACACTATTTTCAACACATTCACATACATAATGGATACATACTAACACTATTTTCAACATATTAAGATGGAAACTGATATATTATTTTCAACTCATTACCATACAAAATTAATATACCTACAAACACTATTTTCAAACATTTAGATACATAATGGATACCTACTAACACTATTTTTAACATATTAAGATGCACAACTGATACACTATTTTCAACTCATTAAGATGCATAATTTTCACCTACAAACACTATTTTCAACACATTCACATACAAAACTGATACCTACCAACACTATTTTCAACACATTAACATACAGAATTGATACCTACTACAAGATGCATTGATCCTTCTGCATCCCAAATAATCTCATATTCACAGTTAAGATTCAATTTTCTCTTATGCGTTCTACTTCTAATGGTACTTATTCTTTGTTTTCCAAACCCCATTAAATCCCTAAAATGATGCCATACACTCACACCACTAGATGGGCAAAGCAGGATTACAATGACCAACACATGAAGGTTCCTGGAATTTTAAGAAAAGACAACAAGCAAGCACAATGCAAAAAAAAATAGGAACAACCAACATCTGTGAATCTACACTTCAACAAATTACCATAAAAACTTGCAATAAAAAGACAACCCAACTTTTGGAAAAAGTAAATAATATTTAAACCGCAGAAAAACTTTAAAAATTAGTTACTATGCTTTAACAAATTACTAGAAACTAGAAAAAGACGCAAAAAAACAACTGAAGCCAATTTATATTTTTGCAAACGCAACTACTACAGAGACAGACTACTCTTACCCAGAAAATCAATTCCCTAAAATCCTAAACATTATTTAAACATTAAGTGATTTAAACATTAACTAAATGCAATATAACATGCAAACTTTAATATGATTGAAAGAGAGGGAATTCGAGAGAAACGTATCTTCTCAGATGTTCAAATGAGAAATATTAGATGAGGGAGGAAGCGAAAGAGACAGAGTACACCAGGGAGTTTTTGCGACAAGAGAAATACACAAATTTATGCCTGGTAGGTATTTTGGGTGTTTAGGGTTGGTTCATAAATTCATAAATTTATTGACAAGAAAGGCGCGACTGGCCACTGTCAGGAAGAAGAAAAGCGTGTTTTTTCGAAACAGGCGCGACTTGACACTTGGGCTAAGGGGAACTGTAGCCTATCCATTTTACCGTAAGCTTGCTTTTTCTCTTTAGCCGTTCAGATAATTTGGATGGTTGAATTTGGTTCTCATATAACGTTCGCACATAAGCGTTCTCACTAGATAACCGCCCTTTTTATTTGGACACTATATTTAGGAGTCCCAAGGAGGTAAAGCCTAATTTAAGTCCCCATTGAAGATGGCCTTATGTTTGCCCCAACGCAACATATGTAGGTGCTATTGGACTCGCATTACCGGTAGGCAAAATTTTTAAAACATTTGCGTGTACCGGTCATCCATCACTCATTCATTGCTTAGAATTTAGATTGAAATATAATTGCTATTTAATCATGTCAAAAACGGATTAGAAATTGGAGAAAGTTGACGAAACTTAGCTTCTGCTTCAAGAACTAGGGACCTTTTCATTTTGATCCACAACGATTCTATTACTATCTGAACGTTGCCCTGGTATTAAATTAGGAGTCAATTAATCGTATTAATTGCCCATTTTGTCATATCATACATCATCTAATTAACAGAGATACATACAGCTATCCCCATCATATGTTTAGATTTTGAATTTCCATTGCAGTGCTAGGTTTCTTGCAAGGGCTGAACACAAATCTCCTTGAAATTTTGGGTATGCTACATTGTTTCCATATTTTTCCTTTGTTCTCCATTATTATTTTTAAAGGATTTTTTTTTCTTTCTGGAATTAGTCGTATAACATGTTTTTCCAATGCCAACTTAGGAATCAAACGCCTACGAGAAATGAAATTGGCCCATATTCAAGCCCTTGAACTCCTAGATAACATGTGTGAAGTGATAAAACATGAAGATATCAATGAGCTTCTAACTGCAGCAGTCTTCCGAGCTACGAAGCTAGGAATGTTTGAGTTTATTGACCGTGTATTGCAATCAAAACCAAATCTCGTGTGGACGTCAAATTCAATGAGAAGGAACCTCTTTCAGTTTGCCATTGAATGTCGTCAAGAAAAAGTTTATAGAATTATTTATTATAAACTCGATAAAAAACAAAGACTGTAATTGGAAGTCTTGCAGATTCGGATAACAATTGCGCGCTACATGTGGCAGGGATGCTTTCACCATTAGCAAGGCTCGATAATATCTCAGGTGCAGCTTTGAAAATGCAGAGAGAACTACAATGGTTCAAGGTCAGAACATATAATTCAGTGTTAGTTTTTTTTTCCCTCCCTCTTATGAATTAGTACAATTCTAAAGACCATTTTTTGTTTCGAAATTGTGGTAATGGGAATCGGAATCGGTCATCCTGGTACAAACTAGTTAAAATCAGAAATCAATAAGACATCTAAGAAGATATACATTGTCATATGTATATACTGTGAACATTCTGTTTTTCTTTTCCTCACTGAATATGATTTTCTATACTTTATTGTTTTGTGTTAAAAAAAAGTAGTACCTCAAATAGATGGATACTGTTTTAAACAAACATGAACAAAATTTGTATTAATTTATACTTTTTCAACTTATACAAATTGTTGTGGCTAAAATGAGTCATTTCTTATATCGTGGGAGAAAACTAATGTTCCAATTTATGTAATTTAAACATTTTCTAGTCGAAAGCCAATGCAGCCAAAAATGTAGTCGAAGGAGTTAAACTAGAAATAAAGGGAGTACTAAGATGGCTTATTTAGTTACTTTACGGTCAACATTGTCTTCTCTGTTCTCTAATGGTTTACGTTTATATGGCCTCTCAAATTTAAAAAAATTCAAGGGTTGATTGGAAAATTAGAATAATAACCTCTTATACTCATATGAATCTTTTGTTCAACAAAATGTAGGACGTCGATAAATATTGTAAGACTCCTGCTTAAAGAATCTTTAAATAAGGAGTATAAGATGTTTTCCGAGAACCACAACCAATTGGTGAAGGAAGGAGAAAGATGGAAGAAAGAAACTGCATTTTCATGTACAGTTGTAGGTGCTCTCATTATTACCATCATGTTTGCTGCAACATTCATAATTCCCGGTGGAAACAATGGACAAACAGGCTTCCCAATATTCCTGCATAAAAAGTTGTTTATGGCTTTTATAGTTTCAGATGCTATATCCCTCTTTTCTTCCACAACTTCGGTGTTGATGTTTTTGGGAATCCTTACATCACGTTATGCTGAAGATGATTTCCTTACATCCTTACCAACAAAGATGATAATAGGCCTTTCCACCTTATTCATCTCTATTTGCCACCATGATGGTTGCCTTTTCTTCTGCCCTTTTCATTATCATCCATGAACAGTCGTGGATTGTTATTCCTATGATTTTCCTTGCTAGCGTTCCAGTCACCTCATTTATTTAGATGCAATTTCCTCTTCTAGTTGAGATGTACGTTTCTACTTATGAACGAGGAATATTTGACAGGAAAGTGAAATCAAGGGCATAAATTCTTCTACTTGGGAGTGGAATATTTGATAGGAATGTGAAATCATGGACTTAACTTTTGATGGTACGTGTAAGTGGTAATGTATAACTTTCATAATGTTGTAACTTCTAAGAAGCTTGTATCCCTGATAATATGTTGTGATTCTTGGTGAAGATAAGCGTGTGAGAAAAGAATTTGGGATCAAGTCTTGAACTTGTTTGACTTTGTTTTGGGCTCTGCCCGCTACATACAAAGATCGAGCAACGAAAAGAACAAGTGAAAGGCGCCACCATGGTAAAACCTCTGTACCCTATTGGTAATGTATAATCTTCCTATTGAAAAACTTAAGCTGATTCTGATTTGTTATTTTTCCTATTGGTGGTACTTCCAGATATATATAAAAGAAAAAGAAAAAGAATAAGGAATGTAAGTACTTAAAGAATGCTTGAAAAGAAAAGGCCTGATTCTTAATACACCAATGCACTCAACCCCAACAGTATTTTATCATCTGCCAACAGTGGCATGCTCGTATAAAGAAAATTAATTCAGAAACCATTAAATGGTTAAATGGTGTTAGTGGGGAATTTTACAACAAGACTCAAATATAAAAAGAGTAAACGGGTATAAGTAATAGATGGAATATTAGTATACTCGTGATACTTCCAACACTACTTTAAGATGAGATGTTGTAAACTTTTATCTGAGACCTAAATACAAAAACAACAAAAATAGCAAGCTGGGTCAGCTTTCAGCAGCTCGTATCATAATGTTTACACCATAATCAACCGAGCATATCCAGCCTCAAAGCGACTAGCACCAAAGACACGTGTCACCACCACAACGACTTGCACAAAGTCCCACATCGAAATTCTACACAAACCTCCCATTTTTCACCTCCCTATAAATAGGGAATAGTATCCATGTGAAAGGGGGACTTCTTCCACTTAGAAGAGGATTCGGGTCTCAGAGCTAGACCCTAGGGTCGGGGACTCTCTTCTAGATCCCTGGCTTGGGCACCTCACTTGTCATCTTTATATATTCGGGTCCAACCCCATGTACAAATGTAATCATACACTATTATAATGAGAACATACTTCTCCGTGGACGTAGCCCATTCATTAAGGGTGAACCACGTACATCTTGTCTTCTTTACATTATCGCTTGCCCAAGCCTTCACACACATACTGAAGGTCCTCACCTTCACCCATCATTCACTATCACCTACTCTCTAAGTTGACCTCCCAAAAAGAGCATCAACAGTTTGGCGCCGTCTGTGGGAATCAACACAAGAAGCTTTGTTGTTCTTCTCTTCCTCTAGTGCCCTTCGGCGTCCTTTCAATCATCACCTTGTAACTTACCACTAAGCACATATGCATTCCTTCCCTTCGGCACCCCCGTACCTAGCCACATCGCCTTGCGGCACACAAACTTTGTGTCTCCTTTGGCACCCTCGTGCCTAGCCATATTGTCTTGCGACACGCAAGCTATGTGTCTCATTCGACACGCAAACTCTGTGTCTCATTCAACACGCAAACTCTGTGTCTCCTTCGGCACCCTCGTGCCTAGCCACATTGTCTTGCGACAAGCAAGCTCTGTGTCTCCTTCGGCACCCCCATGCCACATTGCCTCACGACACAAGCTTTGTGTTGCCTTCGGCACCCACGTGCCTAGCTACATTTCCTTGCGACATGCAAGCTTTGTGTCGCATTCGGCACCATCATGCCTAGCCACATCGCTCTTCGACACGCAAACTTTATGTTGCCTTCAGCACCCCCTTGCCTAGCCACATCTTGTGTCACCTTCGGGACCCCCGTGCCCATGCCACATCTTGTGTCGCCTTCGGCACCATCGTGCCTAGTCACATTGTTCTGCGACCCGCAAACTTTGTGTCACATTCGGCACCCCGCCACAATTAGGTGCGAGCGATGCCTTCGGTCCCCCCACCATCATTCGATGCAAGCGATGCCTTCGACATCCCATCATCGAGCGATGCCTTTGGCACCATGTCATCATTTAGCCCAAGCAATGCCTTCGGCACCTTGTCACCATGTGGCTCATGCGATGCCTTCAGCAAACCTCTCTGATGTGAGCAATGCCTTCGGCACCTCGTCATCATATGGCTCATGCGATGCCTTCAGCAAACCTCTCTGATGTGAGCGATGCCTTCGGCACCTCGCCTTGCATGGCCAAAAGAGGAAGCCACCATTTCAGCCCAAGGAACCACTTTTCAATCACGTTGAAAGTCTTAATTTATGGGTGGCCAAGTATTCCAAATGCATGGCTTGCTTGTACAAGGAGGCAAGCTAATATTTCAATCCAAGGAAAGCCCACGAAACTTCAAAGAGATAAGTCAACCATACCACATCTCTTTTGAATATATTTTATTTGGAATGTTGCATGTCAAGTTTCATTAAAATATTAGTATTGAATATTAGTATAGACCATGTGTGGTAGATGACATTGGACAACATTGCCCAGCCTTGAAGGGCTATACATGCACCACCATGCACTACAGCACAAAGCAGGGAATATGCCAAGGACCCACAGCTGCTGTTCGGCAGTTTCTTTCTCTCAAACTCATGGGACTTGTTCCACTCTCTGTTAAAGCCACAAATACTGATATGGCACCAAGTGCGTCACCCTTGTACCAAAGCTTCTCAAACAAACTTGACAAACCAAAAACAAAACTACTTTGCATGGCTTGCATGGCCAAGGAAGCCCACATGCCAATCCAAGGGGCAACCCACATGGTCCATTTCCATGAGTTTGTGGCTTAGGTGTTGTTCAATACCTGTCAATTGCTATTCAACAATTCAATAGAATATCCATACTGAAGCCACCATAAACTCTTTTATTTGAAGACAAAATACAAGGACCAGATCGGCACCCAATGCTTTGAGCTCATCTCCAGTGGCGGATCCACATAGGCGCAAGGAGGTGCAACTGCACCTCCTCTTGCTAGAAAACGCTTTGGAAGTGGCAACGATTGCCCCTTCTGCTTTGTCTGAAGGTGTTGGCTGCGCTAAGAAGAACCTGCTGCGTGAGGAAGAAGATGATTTCTAAACCCTTTCTTTTTCTTAAACAACGTCGTTGGGTTCACCTTTGGGTTTTAATAAAAGTGTGCGTTTTGATTGTTATTTTAAAGCCTTTTTTTGTCGTTTCCTTTTTCCAAATCTATTTCTCCCTCCTCCCAATACAATCACACCAAACCCCAAATTCTTTTTTTCTCAACCGCATGTATCTCTAGCCCTAACCCTCCTGTCAATTTAGGAATCATCCTACTCTATTTCAATAGTATAACTAATTGGATAATATTAGGTTTTGAAATTGATTATTATATTTATTACTTATATTTAATTGAATATGAAGCTTTAATAAGATTTACTGATTTAGTTTCATTATATTTTATTATTTATAATTTTTCTTCGCAAAAAGCTTACTCATCGTTGCTTTAAGGCTTACGCTTCATTTTGCAGGACCAAAGTTACTTAGCATTTACACCCACACCTTGCCTTTCAAAACTTTGGTATTATTTAAATTAAGGGTAAGGGTTGTTATTGTTGTTTTTTTTTTTTTTTTTTTTTTTTTTTTTTTTTTTTTTTTTTTTCTTTTTTTTTATTTTTTTTTATTTAAAAAATAAAAGCCTGAAAGAATTTTGGATGGATTCGCCACTGCTCATCTCTAATAATCTAGCTTCAACCAATGGCTTTCAGAAGCCATATCCACCTCCAAAATACTACCTAGTACCATTTGGCAGCCCCAAAATTGAAGAATTATCTCATGCTTGAAGCCAGATACCACTCTCACCAATCTGTCATACAGTTGGAAAATTTCTCAAGGCACCCAAGGATACCGAATGGCAGCCGTAGAAAACTCCACATGCTTCGCACACGGCTGATTGACCGTGTTCGGCAGCAGCCACACTTTGCCTTCTTTGGAAGCTTCAGATCAGCAACTCCCAGCTCCAAATAACACCTGCCAGAGGTACATACAACAAGGATAAAAATCATCAATTCAAATTTCCGAAGCTGGCCTTGCCGAAAGGCAAGGCCCATGAAAGAAAATCTGGACCTTCTCCGAAAGCTCTCTTGCTGAAGCCACCACAAGCTTCAAAGAAAAAAAAATTCAATTAGCTCTTACCGATCAACACTTGGCTTAAAAGTGGCTAAGACCTCGAATGCCTTCTATCTCTAGACATGGCCGAACTCTCACAACCAACACCCTTGCCGAACGGCAAGGGTTATGCAGCAACTAAATGGTGGCATTCAAGAATAAAAAGACTCACCTTCTAAACACCAAGAAAGGCTCCGAACCACGACAACAGCAGCTCACAAGTCTTCAGCACTCCAAGAAGGGCATAACAAAACCAAAGTTGCCGATACCACAAAGCACCTTTGCCGAAAACACAATACCAAATTTCAAACGGCAAGCTCCTCAAGTATTTGCCAAAACACCGAGATATTTGTTCAAACCAATGAGAGCTGAATCACGCAGCGAAACAAATTCAAAAAACTGATCAGGACACCCTTGCCTTTAGCAGAAGGGAACGGGTCTCATGAAAGCATACCTACCGAATTATGATGGGCACCCAGACCACTTTGCTGAACGGTAGGCCCGAGGATACTTGCAGATTTGGTCCCCCAAAAAACAGCAAAACTCACGAACAGCCCAGCTCCCTTACCACAACAACGTGTTCAAGTCTCTTGCTTACTGGATCTCAAATGGCCAGCTCCTCAAGCTACCGAAGGCGTAGAGATTTGCTCACATCGTGAAGATGATCTCGAAGCCCATCTCCAAATTTCAGCCCCAAATTCACATCAGCATGTGATCAAGACACCCCACATTCATGTCCGAATGTGATCAAGACACCCCAACTCAAGCTTGCTGAAGGTCTTCCCCCAAACCTCACGACAAACCTGCCACAAGTCAACAAATATCAAATCCATATCAGCCAAGCCTTACCAAAAGGTTCAGCCGCCACTTTTTACCCTTGCCGAACGGCAAGGGCCGTGAAAACTCGAGGAAAAGATCATCAAGGTCACGATTCCAGCCCACGAAATCTAGCAACACCTGCCGAAGACAAAAAGTCTAGAGATTTGATCAGGACACCCTTGCCGAACGGCAAGGGCTGTGCAGCTTAAAAATAGAAAACCTCTTCAACCTTGCCAAACGGTAGCAATGCGCCCAAACCATACAATCTCGACACCACACCCCCCTTGGGGACTTTAAGAATGTTTCAGGACCACCCTTGCCGAACGGCAAGAGCCACGCTCAACTTGGCTAGAGGTTCGCGAATACCACGATTGCTGAACGACGGAACTTGAGAAATTGCTGAACTGCAGAAGCAGCGAAACTAGCAGATTACGGACCCAGCACCACAACAACTTACACAAAGTCTCACATCGAATTTCTACACAAACCTCCCACTTTCACCTCCCTATAAATAGGGAATAGTATCCATGTGAAAGGGGGACTTCTCTCCACTTAGAAGAGGATCCGGGTCTCAGACCTAAACCCTAGGGCCGAGGACTCTCTTCTAGATCCCTGACTTGGGCGCCTCATTTGTCATCTTTATATTCGGGTCCAACCTCATGTACAAATGTAATCATATACTATTATAATGAGAACATACTTCTCCGTGGACGTAGCCCATTCATTAAGGTTGAACCACGTACATTTTGTCTTCTTTACATTTATCGCTTACCCAAGCCTTCACACATATGTTGAAGGTCCTCACCTTCACCCATCATTCACTATCACCTACTCTCTAAGTTGACCTCCCAAAAAGAGCAGCAACAAGTAAGAATGGTGAAACTTGTGGAAGATAACTATGAGTACTGGAGTGCATTGGTTAAAAATTACTTGTTGGCTAGAGGCCTTGGGATGTAGTGTAGGGTACAGCTGAACGTCCTAAACCAGAAAACGCTTGTCAGTTCGAGGCTTGGAGAAAGAAGACTTCCAATGCTTTACACGCAATCCAAATTTCGTGCGGGCCTGATGCTTTTTCCGTGGTTAAGGAGATTAGTGTTAAAATATCAACCCCAGCCCACAAACATAAGTCGGTTACTACTTTTATAAGTGGGCATGAAGCTTATTAATGTAATCAATTAAGAAGTCAAGAAGTTAAGTGACAGTACGAAGTTCTTGTGAGGAGTAGGCCTCGTCAATGGGCCAGGTCGGATCGGGCTTTAAAGAGGAGAGAGAAAATAATGGACTAGGTCGGTTTTTTTTTATAAATTCAAAGTCCAAGCCTGGTGTGAAGAGTAGGCCTCATAAATGGGCCGGGTCGGGTCAGGCTTTAAAGAGGAGAGCGAAAATAATGGACTGGGCCGGGTTTTTTTTTAAATTCAAAGTCCAAGCCTAGCCCATGGGCCAGACTTGAAAAAGCCCATCTGGCAGGCTGGGCCTAAATGAGCCTACTTTATTTTGTCTTTTTTTTAATATGTATTTTTTTTCTATGTTTCCTCTTTTTTTCATAGTTCTATATTTACATTTGTTTATATGTTTATGTCTCCATTTTTTTTTCTTTGTTCATAACTTCATAGTTCTCTTTTTTTTTCTCCCCATAAATATAAAGATATAGTTATACAACCCCATATTAATAAAATCATATTTTTTATGTCTTTTTTTTTTTTTTTTTTTTTTTTTTTTTTTTTTTTCAATTATAATGAGATAATAATTTTCTCCATATTTCATTTAACTTGGGTTTTTTTATATATATACTTATTTATATGTATGTGAGCCCGTGGACTGGGCTTTTATAGGCCAGTCAGGCTTTCTTGGACTTAAAGGGGCCGAGCTTTAGACACCCAAGCCCAAGCCCAGCCCACTCAATAACGAGCCGGGCTTTTTCTCGATATTTTAGACATGTTCTAAACTCACATACACAACTAGGATGTCATGGTGATTCGAATCTGAAACCTCTAATCTGTTAGATAAATTGTGGATGTTCTTAATCCCACCACCTTCAACCTCACCATTGCCGCATGCTATTTCCAAAACCGATCCAAATGTTGTACCTCCTTTGTAACAATTTCTTTAATAAATAAAAAACAATAATTCTGTCAAATGTCTCTCAGTTTTGCATTTATCTAACACGTCCCAACCATTTACACAAACATCAAGGCGCTCACACGGATATGTTTTTAATAAAATTATGATGCAAATAACTACATACTCGGTTTTGTCCTCAGCCTTTGGGAGATATTCTTAGTTTAACAAGTTTCTATTAAACAACTACATATTGGCCATGGATTTTGACGAGTTAGTCCTATAAATTAACGAATCCTTTTATTTTATTGGACCTTACCTAATAATTCCTACAATCATCGACAATGATTCCTGTATAATTTCAAATTTTTATTTTGCTGGACCTTACCTAATACCTTCCATCGTCGACAATTATACCTTAATAATTTCAAATTTCAGTCTTTTGTTTGTTTTTTGCGTCAAGTACTTTTTGAGTATTGTGTATCAATTCGGATTTTAAAAATATGTTTTGTTACGAAAAATCTTTGCTGAGATTTCTGATATCCACATGTGAACAAAGACTTAGACAAAATGCTTATTAAACAAAGACTGACAATTAACAAGTCATTCTTTACTTGAAGTCTAATTCATTTCATGCTCAAATCAGTGTTCGGTGGTTCCCGACCTCCATTCACTATTGTTGAGCTGAGTGACTTTAGGGAAAATCTATATTTCTTTCACTGTTTGAAATCATTAATTTCATGGACGCTAATACTATTAGCATTTTTACAGCAACCATGACCAAATGTTATGAAGAAGGAAAATAAACTACAAAACTCTTTTCAATAAGGAATTCGTTGGAAACGTTTTGAGGGTGTGAGTGTGTGTGAGAAAGTAGCGAGAAAGAAGATAGAAGATGAAAGAAAAGGATTGCCCATCAAACAAAAAAAGGAAGAAAGGAAGAGAGGGGAGAGAGAATATAATAAAATAATGAATAGTCTTAAAAGTTGGGCTGCTAGGTTGTCCCCAATGTTTGTTTTTAAATTTGAATGATGTGTGAAAGAAAGGGATTGCCCATTAAACAAATGCAATTCTAATCATTGAAACTTACTTAATTTGATAATTTAAATGGTGTGTCAAAAGGTGTGGTTCTACGTGTGTCCCCTAATATGTTTCAAAATTTACAATATATCAGTCTAAAAATCACAGCTATTGCAATATTAAATTTCTTGAAAGACTAAATTGTTTTCCAAATGCATTCATTGCATATAGAATTCTATTGGCTATTCTTGTTACTGTTGCATTTGCAGAAAAGAAGTTTTTCAAAATTAAAATTGTTAAAATTATACTTGCAATCAACTATGTTGCAAGAAAGATTAAACGGCCTAGCTTTGATTTCAATTGAAAGTGAACTTCTAAAAAACTTGATTATGAACATTTGAGTGATGATTTCTCTTCTAAAAATTCAAGAAGCTCAATTTTCAGACATTAGTATTGTACTGGCTGTGTTTTTTTTTTTTTTTTTTTTTTTTTTGTTTGGGAAAAGTTCTCGTAATAGTTTAAATTCCTCAAATAAAGACAACAAATACAATGTGAACGATTTGTGGATAGTCATGTATGTTTTTATTGTTGCTTTTGTGTTTAATGTAATATAATCTAATTTGTTAATGACATTTGTGTGCAACTACTCTTTAATTTGTGATTGCCAAATTTTTTTTCCTATTAAACAAAGATTGCTTATTAGAGGCAGCAAGGGACCTTATAGGGGCAAAAGGAGCTTATTTTTGTTCCAAACATACTAATATTTAACTTTATCAAATGGAAACATTTAATTTTTATGAATTTGATTTTTAATTGTTATTACATGTTTATTGATGGTGACTTTTAGTTTTAAAAAAAAAATTGTTTATGACTTTAAGTTATGGCAAAATTTTTATCTATAGTATTTTCATATTAGATTATGTGAGGCTCCACTTTAAGTTTCACGCTGGACCTACTAGCAGATATTGGGATGCTAGTAGCAGAAATTTTTATCTATAGTATTTTCGTATTAGATTATTTGAGTATTACTTGTTGGCTCAAGACCTTTGTAATGTCATTGAGCCTTCAGTTGAAACTCTTAAATCAGAAGAAGATGACCCATCGGTTCAAGGATTGGAGGAAGAAGAATGCTGTACACACACACCAATACAAAAGAGTCGGGCAACAGTGATGAGAAGAAAATGCTCTTCCATGGTCCAGTAAAGTGTTGAATTATTTCATCTTTTTATTTTTTTGGCAATATCATTGTTCTTGGAACTTGGGAGTATAAAGTTTGGGGAGAGGACTCGGTTTTGATAAGATATATGCAACTTTTAAGCAGTGAGTATTTCATAAACCGAAAATGTGGGGGCTTGGTGTCTAAAGATTATTTTAGGGTGTCGGTCCACTCCATTGAATCACCATTGTCCTTTAGTTTCTCCTCACTTTCTATTGCTTTTCTGATGCAGCGGAATAAGAACAAAATATATAATTTTAACTCCGTTAATTCTAAGAATGCCCGGAACTAAACTCTAATCTGTTAATTCTGAGAATACCCAGGAAAAGAGTAAGAGATGAGAGAAAAATCTCAATCTTCATTCAATAACAAACATCAATGCCTTCCTTACAATTTCATGCATTATTTATAGATGTCTCTCAATCAAGATGAGATAACTCCTCATAACTCACAAAGATGAAAAGACTCTGCATAACTTTATTCATGAACCTACATAACTCCCACATACGAAGAGACACTTATTTGATATAGGTTATTTAAGATTTTCCTCATACACGAACGTGATCCCAATGGTCCATGTGTGTATTTGCTAAACTCACTGCATCATCCTCTCTGGGTTGACAAAAATTCGCCCTCGAATTTGGATCATCATCGGAGTTGGAGCCACGGAAAGGAACAAGATATTTCACATTGAACACATCAGACGTGCGAATATGGCTGGGAAGCTTCAATCTGTAAGCATTCGGATTAATCTTCTCAAGAATTTCCACAGGTCCAATTTTGCGAGCAGCCAATTTGTTATATTCACCAACAGGAAAACGATCCTTGGTAAGAATGGCCCAAACAAAATCTCCAACACTAAACTCCATAAAACGACGCTTCTTATCAGCATCATGTTTATACTTGCTAGTAGCGTCCACCAAGCGCTGTTGTGTTGTGCGATGGACATTTTGGAGTTGTGAAATCAAATCTTCAGCCTTGCCATGAACTCTCTTTAAATCAGCAACAGGGGCTAAATCAATTGGAGCTCGGGGATTGTAGCCATAATTGACAAGAAATGGACTAAAGCCAGTGCTGCGATTAACTGAGCGGTTAAAAGCAAATTCTGCTTGATATAATTTCTGATCCCAAGACTTTAGATGTTCACCCACCAAACTTCGTAATAAATTACCCAAAGATCGATTCACGACTTCAGTTTGTCCATCGGTTTGTGGATGGTAAGCGCTGCTGAAATCAAGTTTGGTGTTAGATAGACGCCACAAACAACGCCAAAAATGACTAAGGAAGCGGGTGTCTCTGTCTGACACAATGGACAAAGGCAGCCCATGAAGACGATAAACTTCTCGAAAAAACAGTTGAGCAACATTGATGGCATCAGTAGTCTTCTTGCAAGCCAAAAAATGGACCATCTTGGAAAATCTATCTACAACAACAAAAATGGAATCATTTCCACGTTGGGTGCGTGGCAAACCAAGGACAAAGTCCATACTAATGTTGGTCCATGGTTGACTTGGAACAGGAAGTGGCATATAAAGGCCAGCATTCGAAGCGACACCTTTGGAAATTTGACAAATACGACAGCCCTCCACAAATTTGGTGATTTCTTTCCGCATGGAAGGCCAAAAGTAAGTATTCATCACAAGCTGCAAGGTCTTGTCACGACCCAAATGACCTTCATTATGCAATTCTCGAATAATTTTCAAGCGTAGGCTACTGGCAGGAACACACAATTTATTTCCTTTAAATAGGAAACCATCATGCAAAACAAAATCTGTATGCTTTCCAATACCAACATCAGGAAGTATTGGTCCAAAATATGGATCAGATGACAACAATTCACGAAACGAATCAAAACCAAGTACCTCATTTCGCATAGAAACCAAGAGTGTTGAACGACGGCTCAAGGCATCGGCAACCTTGTTTAAAGATCCTGATTTATGCTTGATAACAAAGGTAAACTGTTGAATAAAAGCAGCCCACCTTGCATGCTTAGAGGAGAGCTTGTCTTGGCTGTTAATATGCTTCAAAGCATCATGGTCAGAATAAAGAACAAACTCACTGTAGGCAAGATAAGAACTCCAATGCTTAAGTGCTCGAACTATGGCATAAAACTCAATGTCATAAGTGGAGTAATTTGACTTAGAACCACTCAGCTTTTCACTAAAAAATGAAACAGGCCTTCCTTCTTGGCTAAGTACAGCACCTATGCCAATTTTGGAAGCATCACAATGTAACTCAAATGGTTGAGTGAAATCTGGCAGGATAAGGATGGGAGCTGAAGTTATTTTCTGCTTGACTTGTTGAAAAGCTTCCGTTGCAACTTCAGTCCATAGAAAATGTCCGGCCTTCATGCAATCTGTTATTGGCGCCATAAGAATGCTGAAATTAGGAATAAAGCGGCGATAGAAGGACACCAGCCCATGAAAGCTACGCACTTCATGAATATTCCTTGGGATTGGCCAATTTAAAATAGCTTCAACCTTGGACTCATCAACTGAAATTCCATCCTTAGACACCACATATCCAAGGAAAATAACACGGTCTGTCATGAACACGCATTTATTCATGGCTGCGAAAAATTTTTCCCTGTGCAAGACTTTCAGAACTTCTTGCAAGTGCTGAACATGCAGATTGTGGTTAGCACTATAAATTAATATATCATCAAAGTAAACCACTAAGAACTTGCCAATAAAGGGACGAAAAATTTCATTCATCACACGCATAAAAGTGCTTGGTGCATTAGAGAGCCCAAAAGGCATTACCAACCACTCGTATAGGCCATCACGAGTTTTAAACGCCGTCTTCCACTCATCACCAGGCCGTATACGGATTTGGTGATACCCACTTTTCAAATCCAATTTCGAAAAGATTGTTGCTCCACTCAATTGGTCCAAAAGATCATCCAACCGCGGAATAGGAAATCTGTAGCGGACTGTAATCTTGTTAATTGCACGGCTATCCACACACATCCTCCATGTGCTATCTTTTTTTGGTGTGAGTAAGGCGGGTACTGCACAAGGGCTAAGACTTTCCCGAATGTGTCCTTTGTATAGAAGCTCTTCCACTTGGCGACGAAGTTCTTCATGTTCTTTGGGACTCATGCGATAATGTGGTCGATTGGGCAAAGTCGAACCAGGCACTATGTCAATTTGGTGCTGTATTTCTCGAAGTGGAGGTAAACCACTGGGGAGCTCACTTGGAAATATATCTTGGAACTCTGCAATCAGACCTTGGGCTGCTTCTGGGATGCCATGTTGTTTTTCACATTCTTTTCCAATCAACACATAAACAATCCCTGATTTTTTAATCTCATCACTGAACTGTCTCCTTGTTAATAGAGTATTAGTTTCCATAGTTATTGATGGCTTGGAAACAATCTCCTTATTGGGAAATAAGACAAGTCTGGTCTTGCCAATCAAAAAGCTATATGTATTCTTCTTTCCATCGTGAATTGCACCCCTGTCATATTGCCACGGCCTCCCCAACAAAATATGGCACGCGTCCATAGTGATAACATCACACCACACTTGATCTTGGTATTTAGTACCAATGGAAAAAGAAACTAAACAGCGTCTTGAAACACTTACGTCATTTTCTTTCTTTAACCATGATAATTTGTAAGGATGAGGATGCTTCTCTGTCTCCAATCCCAACTTTTGAACTGCCTCTTCAGCAACTACATTTTCACAGCTACCAGAGTCAATAACAAGTCGACAAACCTTGCCCCTAATTGTGCATGTGGACTGGAAAATATTATTACGAAGCCATGAATCACCATCAGCTGCTCGTGGAGTGAGACAAACCCTTCGAACCACTAATAAAGGACCATTATCACCATGAACATGTTCTTCTTCAAAATCGTCATAATGGCTATCAAACTTGGGGTCTTGTTCAATATTATATTGCTCGTCTGTTGGTGTGTCTTCACTGTCAATGAATAATCCCTTCCCGTACCGATCTCCCTTCTTGCAGTCAGCCATTCTATGCCCAGTTTCACCACATTTAAAACAGCGTGTTGTAGCTCCACTGGTTCCACTAACAGCTGTACGGGTAGGTGGAGGGTTTACTGGTGGTTTTCCAGTTGGTGCTTGAGAATTGACACTTCGAGACTGAATTGGGGATGAGGTATTCTGGCGATTACTACCACTACCTTGCATTCCTGGCTTTCTATTCATTTGCTTTTCTAATTGCAAAGCTCGCTGGTGTGCTTCAGAAACAGAAATAGGATCAAATAAATTCAATGAATCTTGAAATTGAATTCTCATACCTCCAATATAGCGAGATACCAACTGATCTTCAGACTCTCCCAAATCAATGCGGGCAATCAATTGATAGAAGTCTGTTGTGTATTCATCGACAGAGTGAGAACCTTGCCGCAAGTTCTGGAGTTGTTGATACAATGTTCTGGAATAATTGTGTGGAAGGAAGGTGGATCGCATATACTTTAGCAATTTTTCCCATGTATCAATTTTCTGCTTTCCCTTTCGGACTCGAGTTTGCTTCAGTTGCTGCCACCACGCAGCCGCTCTGCCTCGAAATCGAGTAGCCACTAAGGGAACCCGCTTGTCTTGTGGCACATCCTTGAAATCCAAAACTTCTTCAACTGCAGCAACCCAATCTAAGAATTCTTCTGGCTGCAAACATCCTTTAAATTCTGGAATTTCGAGTTTGAAACCTGACTCCCATCGTCCATGATCTCGTGGAGGGACATGTCTTCTCTGTCTATGATTCCCAAATGGATTTTCAATTTCTTCACTTTCATAATGTTCTTCCTCATCTTCATGACGACTTTGTGATCGGTTCTCGATATTCAGTGCAGCAATCTGTTCTGCGATCATGTCAAACCGCTCCTCAAATTGCTGGATTCGTTCCTCCAAACGTGCGTACCTTACATCCTCAGCATTTTGTCGTCCACCGCGGCCTCCGCCTCTTGGAGCCATAGAGCTTAGACTTTTGGGCACCAGGATTTCGAAGTGCAAGCTAAAAGCCTGCTCTGATACCAACTGATGCAGTGGAACAAGAACAAATATATAATTTTAACTCCGTTAATTCTAAGAATGCCCGGAACTAAACTCTAATCTGTTAATTCTGAGAATACCCAGGAAAAGAGTAAAGAGATGAGAGAAAAAATCTCAATCTTCATTCAATAACAAACATCAATTCCTTCCTTACAATTTCATGCATTATTTATAGATGTCTCTCAATCAAGATGAGATAACTCCTCATAACTCACAAAGATGAAAAGACTCTGCATAACTTTATTCATGAACCTACATAACTCCCACATACGAAGAGACACTTATTTGATATAGGTTATTTAAGATTTTCCTCATACACGAACGTGATCCCAATGGTCCATGTGTGTATTTGCTAAACTCACTGCATCACATCTGTGTACAGATTGATATATTACAGTCATCTACTAAGTACAGTTATGATGTTCGCAACATATGTTTCAAGAATACTGTTTAGTAAAAACCAAACCAAAAAAAAAAAAAAAAAAAAAAAAAAAAAAAGTAGCCGCGCGCGCTATACTCTAATTAAAGAAAATTTAAAAAAAAACTTACCTTACAACCAAGCATATGAACATAAAATTCGGCCACTATATAATATTTCAATATATATTATTTTTATTTAATAATATGTAAAAATTGTGTGCATAATATGTGAATTTTGTGTGTATTGTTGACAATTTTGTAAAAACGCGTGTATTAAAGGAGAGAAGAGAGGGGGGGGTGGGTGTGGTGGTGGTGGTGGTGGGGGGTTGGGGTTACATGAGATGGCGTGTCATCGCCAAGATCCAAAATCCCCTTTCATAAAGTAATATATAATAAAAATAATAATCTCAAAATTCAATTTCCAAAACAAATCTTTTCCATATAACATAAATATATATAATAAAATAACACCCATACTTTCTTTTTGCAAGCCATATTAAAACTATAATTAAGAAAAACACCAAAACTAAATAAGCCCATTCGATTTTATTAATATTCAAAACACTATTCATATACTTAGGAAATATACTTCTGAAAATCCCACAAGACAAGATAATAAAATCCAAAACACCATATTTAAAATTCCCAAAACCATAGCCCATCAATATATTGTAACATCCCACATCGACCAACGGAGAGGGGGTGATGTGCCTTATATGTACATGCCCGCCCCCATCTAGCACGAGGCTTTTTGGGAGCTCACTGGCTTCGGAGTCATGGGAACTCCGAAGTTAAGCAAGTTGGAGGTAGAGCAATCCCAGGATAGGTGACCAACTGGGAAGTTGCTCGTGAGCTCCCAGAAACAAAATCGTGAGGGCAAAGAGGGGGGCCCAAAGCGGACAATATCGTGCTACGGCGGAGTCAATCTAGGGATATGACAATTTGGTATCAGAGTCACTCTGCCGTGTGGTGCGAGTGTGCCGACGAGGACCTCCCAATGGCAAAAGGTTATTGATTTGAATCTTACTGGCGTGTTTCTGTGCACACAGGTGTGTAGTTTCGGGCATATGTTGATCTAGTAATTATAGTTGTTCAAGCTTAGAATTGTCTGATCTTTTTAGCATGGTTCGTGCTTTTTGCAGGCTGCAGCGAAAGTTATGATGAAATAGAGAAAGGTAATCAAATTCTGTCTTTCTTTTATTATGTCAATGTGAAAATCCTATTTTTCTTCTAGATCCTTAATCTGTTGGTCATATTTCAGGGAAGAATAATCAATATAGCATCTGTTGTTGGTCTTGTTGGCAATGTTGGACAAGCCAACTACAGTGCTGCAAAGGCCGGAGTAATTGGCTTTACGAAGAGTGTTGCAAAGGAATATTCAAGCAGGAGCATTAATGTATGTGCATATGATTCAATTTTTTTAATTAATTAATTTTATTATCTGTTTTCGGTGTGTGGAGCTTGCCTGCTAATACGTGTAACCCCACTCCACACTTAGCAATGGCTATGTGGTTTGTTTCATGACATTAAACATTCAAGCAGATATATTTTTAAATTTCTTGCATATTTCCAGTCTTACATGGTGGGCCTAAAGCAATTATCCATCTAAAGCTTTCTTTTTTCCATAGGTGAATGCTGTAGCACCTGGTATTGACGATTGATGGAGGGATGGTGATGTGAGAGGCCAAGTCCCGCACCCCAACCAGCTTCATCTTGAAGAGAACGACAATCAAGCCAAGAATCCCACTATCTCAAGTCAACCTCCAATCACAACGTGATTGGTACAATTTATGTACAAATCCCTGTAATCATGTATTTTCCTCTTTTGTTATAGTTGACCACCGCTAGAATCCTGTATATATGGTGTATCTCAATATGAATCAAATCATCGAGTGATTCAACCCAAACTTCTCTCTTGTCTATTTTTCTACATGGTATCAGAGCTTTACAGGGGCTAACGCTCAAACTCGATCCAACAGTTCCTATGGCCATCGACGAAGGCTCGCCTATCCCTTCTTCTGTCAATTCTCAAACCTCTTCCCAAATTTCTCAAACCTCTCAAAATTCTATCCTTTCCATGTCAGCCGCAATTCCAACCTCCTTCAATATCTCCCACATATTCAATACACCTATGGATCGTAACAATTTCCTCTCTTGGAGATCGCAATTTCTTGATGTCCTGGAAATCCATGACTTGGAGGATGTCGTGAAGAATGAAAATCGCCCTGCTAAAAGGCTTGAGGATGGCTCAATCAACCCCACCTATGCCAAGGACAAATTAGTTCTCAGCTGGATAAAAGCTACCGCATCTCCCTCTATCAAAACCCTCCTAATCTCTTGCACTTCAGCATACGAAGCTTGGACCCTCCTTGAAAAGAGACTCTCACCACTGTCCAAAACTCACTTACGCACACTCCGTGATCAAATTCGTAGCCTAAAGAAAGAACCAGAAAAAGCAATGACAGAATATCTCCTGGATGCCAAATCTCTTTATGATCAACTTGCTATTGCCGGGTCGATGATGACAGAAGGAGAACTCATCGAATTTATTCTCGATGGCTTGGGGCACGAATACAAGGAGTTTACAACTTCATTGCATCTCCGTTCGTCCTTCACTTTCGACGAGTTCTATGATCTCCTCATCCAAGAAGAACACCTGATCAAAAGGATGTCATCTCTCTCTATTTCTACAGGAACAGCTCTTGTCGCTGATCGGACCTCAAATAATCAGCAGAACCACTCAAATCCTCGACCTTACACCGACAACAACAACAGGCACAACCGTGGAAAGGGACGTGGTCGTGGTCGCGACTGGAACTCAGGTCGTGACAATAGTTATCGCAACGGCGACCGTAATTGGACCTCTAGTAATCGGCAAGGCAAGTGGGCTCAGTCTTCTAATAATAATCATCGTGGGTTTTCAGAACATCCATCCTCAGATAATCGGCCTCCCCTCCTTCCAACGCCGTCTCCTCAACAGCACCACCAATTCTTAGTTATTTGTCAACAATGTAACAAACCTGGGCACACGTCTCGGGTTTGTCCTGAACGCGGAAATTTTGCTTACGTTGCTGAAGCCAATGAAAGCACCTCCTCCGTGTCTGGACCAGTCAGCAAAAATTGGGTTGTCGATTCAGGAGCAACCCATCATATGACATCGGATCCTTCCTTGCTTTCCCATGTCCAACCATACACAGGTAACGACTCAATTATCGTAGGAAATGGTAACCAGTTGCCTATCTCCCATATTGGTAAAACCACTTTATCATGTTCCCATGGCTCTCTAGTGCTGCATGATGTCTTGTATGTTCCTGCCATCACAAAGAATCTTTTATCTATAAGACGTTTTTCACGTGACAATAACTGTTACTTTGAGATGGATTATAATGGTTTTCGTGTGAAGGACAACAAGACGGGGAAAATTTACTTATTGGGAGTAGCCATGGAGATCTCTACTACATCCGTGCAGACCCGCAAGTTAGGAGCAAGCTCGTGTTCTATGGAGAAAGAACAACCCAGGACGTGTGGCACACCCGACTTGGACATCCCTCCTCTGATATTCTGCGAGTGTTGGTGAATAAATACCACTTACCCATTAGTGGTACTATGGCCTTTAATAAAAGTTGTCATATTTGTCCACTAGGCAAGGCCTGTAGACTCCCTTTTTCTTACCGTACTTCTAATACACAAAATCCTCTTGAGTTGTTGCATCTTGATATATGGGGACCATCTCCTATGTTATCAAACTATGGCTATAAATTCTATTTGTCAATTGTGGATGATTATTCTCGCTTTGTGTGGTTATTTCCATTGGCAAGAAAATCAGATGTGATGTCTACCTTCATTACTTTCAAAAAGATGGCAGAAAATCGATTTACCAAGACAATTAAAATGTTGCAAACTGATGGTGGTGGTGAGTTTACTAGCCGTGTTTTTGTCAACTTTCTTCGTGATAACGGTATATCCCAACAGGTGTCATGTCCCTACACGCCACAACAAAATGGCACCGTCGAAAGGAAGCATCGACATATAGTTGAGATGGGACTTTGCTTACTTGCTCAATCACACTTGCCATCTAATTTTTGGGTTGAGGCATTCACTACAGCAGTGTTTCTCATAAACCGTTTGCCCATGACTCACCTTGGTAATATATCCCCATATGAAAAATTATTTCACCAATCCCCAGATTACAGGTTTCTTAAAGCATTTGGCTGCACATGCTTTCCTCACATGGTACCATATAATAAGCACAAGCTCATGCCTAAATCCATAAAGTGCATATTCATTGGTTATGACAACAAATACAAGGGATATCGATGCTTAGATGTGGCCTCAGGTAAAATCTATATTTCTCGTAATGTTCAATTTGATGAACTTACTTTCCCTTATCAGGAGCTTAAATCAAAGGTGTCACCAAGTGGGCAGTCACTGCAATCCATTCCATTGGAGTTCTCTATCCTTTCACAGCAAAGAAATATTCCAGACAAGCCATCTCCTTTAAATGATGTAACTCCAGCAGCTGATTTTGGCACTCCAAGTGTACACACCAGCAACCTTAGAGAGCCCATTCAGCAAGAGCGTGATCAAGCACCTCTCTTGCCAATGCCAGCCCACACAGATGGCCCAATTGATTCAATTCAGCCCAGTGACAGTGTCTCTCATATTCCTGATCCTCTCAGCAGTCCTCTTATTTCACGTGCCAACAGTCCTGATGCCACTCCAATATCTCCATCTACCCCCCAATCTTCACCAATGCCACCCAAATTTAGGAGCCTTGATGAACTCAACAGACTTATCCACGGTCCACCTTCGCATCCACTTCCGCAAGGATTAACAGCAAGTCTTAAAGATCCTTTATCACTGGAACCTTCCAGCTACACTCAGGCCTCCAAGTTTCCTCATTGGCAAGAAGCCATGACAGAAGAATATGATGCCCTTATGCGTAATCAGACTTGGTCCCTAGTTCCTATCTCCCCAAATATGAATATTGTGGGATGTAAGTGGGTCTTTCGCGTCAAACGTAAGGCCGATGGCACCATTGAGAGACATAAAGCCCGTCTTGTGGCCAAGGGATATAATCAAAAGGAAGGATTTGACTACTACGAGACCTTTAGTCCTGTTGTTAAACCTGCCACTATACGCACTATTTTGGCCTTGGCGGTTTCACAAAATTGGATCTTACAGCAACTTGACGTACGCAATGCTTTCCTCAATGGTATTTTACAAGAAGAAGTCTACATGGTGCAACCCCCTGGCTTTGTCGATCCTCTTCACCCTAAGCACGTATGCCGACTTCACAAGGCACTTTATGGACTCAAGCAAGCCCCCCGAGCTTGGTTTCAGCGCCTTACTTCCTTTTTACTTGGTCAAGGCTTCCTTCATAGCAAGTCTGATGCATCTTTATTCATCCATCACTCCTCCACTTTTTCCATTTATGTGCTAGTATATGTTGATGATCTTATTGTCACAGGCCAAAATGCTTCTGTCATCAACACATTCATTGACAAATTATGCTCCACATTTGCAAGTCGAAAATTGGGTGCTCTCCATTTCTTCCTTGGCATGGAAGTCACTCGATGTGCCAATCAGTTGTCCTTGTCTCAAGCCAGATATGCTTCAGATTTATTAAAGAAGTTTAAAATGGACCTCTGCAAACCTTGCCCTACACCTTTGCTTTCCTCTCAACGACTCTCTGCTCATGATGGTGATTCCCTTTCAGACCCTGAAACCTATCGTAGCATGGTTGGAGGACTTCAATATCTCACTTTATCTCGCCCAGACATTGCATATGCCGTCAACCAAGTCTGTCAATACATGCACAATCCCAAGACTACTCATCTACAAGCCGTCAAACGCATTTATCGTTACATAAAAGGGACTATTGAACATGGCCTTATTTATCGCTCTTCCCCTGATTACACATTACGCGCCTTCTCTGATGCAGATTGGGCCGGCTCTCTTGACGACCGTCGTTCAACTAGTGGGGCTTGCATCTTTCTTGGTCCCAACATTCTCACCTGGACCGCCAAAAAGCAATCCACTGTTTCTAGGTCCAGCTCAGAAGCCGAGTATAGAGCCCTTGCTACAACAATTGCTGAACTTCAATGGTTTCGTTATCTTTTCCGTGAACTTGGGGTTCCGCTTCGCACTCCACCATGCGTCTTTGTCGACAATATTTCTGCCCTTCACATGGCCGCAAATCCCGTCTTCCATGCTCGCACGCGTCATATTGAAATTGATTATCATTTTGTTCGTGAACTACTGGCACGTGGAGTTCTTCGCACACGCCATGTCTCTTCCCAACATCAATTAGCCGACATTTTTACCAAAAGTCTCTCCAGAGAACGGTTCTCCTTCCTTTCTGGCAAGCTCAATCTCCACTTGGTTCCGTTTCGCTTGAGGGGGGGTGAAGAGAACGACAATCAAGCCAAGAATCCCACTATCTCAAGTCAACCTCCAATCACAACGTGATTGGTACAATTTATGTACAAATCCCTGTAATCATGTATTTTCCTCTTTTGTTATAGTTGACCACCGCTAGAATCCTGTATATATGGTGTATCTCAATATGAATCAAATCATCGAGTGATTCAACCCAAACTTCTCTCTTGTCTATTTTTCTACACATCTTACAGAAGGTTTCAAATGACCCTTCATCTTACAGAAAGTTTCAAACGAAGAGAGGCTTTTCTTTATATTCCATTCTTGATCGGCTTCTAGTTTCAACCAGTAATTGAATAGGCAAATCTTTTAACCACTTTGTAAAGCTATTGGTCGAAAGGCCACGTGGCCCTCCTTTGGGTTTGGACAAATCTTTTAACCACCTTGTATCACTCTCAAATTTGGGTTGTCAGTGACTCAGTGTACATTTTATTTAATTATAACTTCCCCCAAGTTGTGATTCCTTCTTTTTCTTGCTCTGATTACGCGCTATTGCATATAGCATGCATACAACTCAGATGAGGATTATGCAGAGTTGGACTCCAGATTGCGTGCGCATTTGGAATCTTTCCTAGAAACTGCAAGATCATTCAATACATTAAGGTTTGACCTGCTCTTTCCTTTCGTATACACTGCCTTTTGACAATCTGCTATCCCTTCTTTTCTATTCTTTTCCTGTTTGCTGTACCAAATTAAAAGATTATTTTGGCATACTTGTTACTGATAATGTATATCTAAAGAGGAAAAGTGATGCGCTTGTGATACATGAACTTGTCTTAAAAGAAAAAGAAAAAGAAAAAGAAAAAGAATGGTATCTTTGCCTTCACCATAATGATTGAAATTTATGCTTTTGGGTGGATTCCTTTTCAAAATATCTGTCTTGGTTGGCAAATGAGATAGTTTTTATGCTCCTGTTCCAGCTCCTTGCTAATTGGAAATTCACTTTTTAGTTACTACAGTTGGATTGTTGACATTTATTTGACGCGCATGAGTCCGTAATACCTTTTTGTTAGTTGTTTTGGTGTGTGCCAATCGCTTGAGCCGTTGGATGTGAAATTTTACTGTTGAGATTGCCTAAAATGAATCTAAGTCGTTGATTATCCAATATGTTGAAATATTTCAAAAAAAAACACATAACAAAACATACCAAAAATAGCCGTTGCTTTTCAATAAACTAGAGGGAATCTTCATTCCCACTTGCCAGCAACACAGCCCACGTGATGGGTTTCTCTCATCATGCAATAAAAAATATTTATTAAAGCAGAATTGGCCTCCACAGATTTATCAGTCCAGGCAGAATTCTTGGTGGAATTCCCGTCCAATTTTGAGGCATCTTACATTTTCACCTCCCAAAATACATGGGTTGGAGATGGTTTTTGGAGGCTAAACTCAAAATTTGAGTTTCCACTCCAAGGGTTGGAGATGGTCTTAGAGGCATACAAGATGCTTTTAAAGGTATCTCATTGCTGATTAAATTATTTATCTGTTCATTTTCATAGTACATTACGAGGATTATTAGACTAATACTGATGCGTAGTTAACTTATTTACCTGTTGTGTTGGAGGAGGAAAAAGTGAAGGAAGGTGGGGGTGGGTTGAAAATAATTTTCTTTATTTTGAAGTAGGAGGGAGGAAATAGAAAAGAAAGTGGGCGAGGTACATTTCTCTTGAGCTGGAAAAAGCATTCCCCTCAGGGCAGGGACGGATCTATGAATTTAAAATGGCATGAGCTGGATTTATCTTACAATAAAATTTGACGGCACAAGTAAATTTAATTAATAACAAAAAATAATACACCTAGTCAGTGCTAAAATATGATAAGTCTCATAAATGAAAATTAGGCGTGGCAATAGATCGAGAGAAAATGGGAATGAAGAGGCCATTTTATTTCTGAGTTTAGATCGAGAGAAATGGGAAGGAAGAAAATTGGCAGAGCTAGGCTTTTGTCTTTTGAGTTGTGATTTTTTTCTCCCCTTGTTTCCTTTTATAAACATCCATTATGACACCCGTTTCTGATTTTTCCTGCGTTCCTCAAGCTCCACACCAGTAATTTCCGCTCCCTATTTTCCACACCGAGCTCCACGACAATGTCTTAATAATAATAATTTTTGAATACCTGTGGGGTGACCCTTGCCTAACCCCAAAATCCCTAATATTGGATTATCATGACCATGAAAATAGTCATTGAAGTTCACCTTATTGAAGAGTCCCCACCCAAATCACATTAGGGATAGCTAGTTGCCCTAGCTCGGATAAAAATGTAAACGTATCAAATCCAAAGAGGCCGTAAGTGGAACTGTAATCATAGTATAACAGCCCATAAACACAATTCTGGCCCTTAGTACCAGGACCAACGTTTGGAGGAACACAAAGTGGGTGATCATCTGGCATGGGCCGGGACGTGGTTGATCTCCTGATGTTCAAGTTAGGCATTGACAATTCGAAGCACGACTTGCATCTTTTGCATTGAACCCACGTTAGTTTGACTAAGGCTTGATGAGTAGGCTCTGCTTTCAACTTTGGGATGGGCTATCTCCATTGTTTTTTTTGTTTTTTGGTTTTTTTCTCTTAAGAATACTATATGGTATTACAAATACAAAAAAAACTTAGTATGGGCTGTAGCCCATACAGCCCACTATGTAGATCTGTGACTGCCTCGAGGTCAGGAAAGGATTTTCCTTGAACGTGGGGAAGCCCTTTTTTATTCCAGAATAGAATACGAGAAAAGGGGAGACTGGATGTCTAACTTATTTTTAGCCTAACAAATTGGGGACCAAATTTTTTGTACATTAAGAAAGAGGCGATATGATAATAGAACCATTTCTAGATTTCTTTGCTTTCCCTCTCTTCCCCTGAACTCAAGGGCCACCTCTGAAAGTGAGACATTGTATTGTGTAAGTACAATTGGACAGAAAGGCTCAGCTGTGGCACAATTAGTTCAAATTCTTTCAGAAGATTAAACAAGGAAATTCCATTTGATAACCATGGTGGAAAGAGAGTATTTCAGATCTAGGTTTAGACAAAGAAAAGAATGAAAGATAAAGCTCTGTATACTTCTCAGGAGTGCTTTCTTACATAATGATGAAATGAACCAGACCCAAGCTCATATAGTTGTGTAACGATGACTTTCTTTACTAAGTTAACAAGCTTAATAGACTAACTAATCAAACTAATAAGCATGTGAAGAGCTAACATACTTGCCATCTCAGCAAGAACACGTGTCAATACATCATACTATTATCATCCCTCCTCAATCTCAGTTGGGGGTGAGCCAAGACTGAGATTGGCACAGTGTTTGACAAACAGGGGACTATGAAGACCCTTTGTAAGAATATCAACCACTTGCTCATCAGTTGAAACATATTGAACAATAAGGTCTTTGTTTTGAACTCTCTCTCTAATGAAGTGGAAATCTATCTCCATATGCTTGATACGAGAATGAAGCACCGGATTAGCACTCAGTGCTAAGGCAGACAAGTTATCACTATGTAAAACTGGAGCTTCAGGAATAACCATATGTAAATCGTGCAACAGTTGTCTAATCCATGAAATCTCTACAGCACAATAAGCAAGAGCACGATATTTTGCCTCTGTGAAACTAAAGTTTGTTTCTTAGAAGCCCAAGAGATTGGATTATGACCAAGAAAAACTGCATAGCCAGTGGTGGATCGACGAGTATTTGGGTTCACCTGCCCAGTCAGCATCATAATAGCCATTGAGAAGCATAGTGACAGGAGAGAAAGTGATCCCATACTGCAAAGTGCCTTGTAGATACCTGAGAATTCGTTTGACAAAACCAAAATGAATATCAATGGGATTATGTATGAACTAACAGACTGTATTAACTGCGAAGGCTATGTCTGGACGAGTAAAGGTTAAATACTGCAGTGACCCGACAATACTCTGATGCAATATAGGATCACTAAGAGTAAGACCATCATCTGTCAAAGCTTGCTGATGAGGTTTGGAGGGTATACTACAGGGTTTACACGTATCCATGGTAGCCTTATGAGTAAATCCTTAGCATACTTAACCTGATTGACAAACATCTTTCCATCAACCTGATAACGAATCTCAAGTCCCAGAAAATATTTGAGTTGTCCCATATCCTTGAATTTCAAAACTTCCCCAAGATCATGAATAACAAAGTTGACAAGCTCAGGATTAGAGCCTGTGAGGATGATGTCGTCAATGTACAATAGAAGAATAAGAATATCAGATGAAGTTTTCTTGACAAAGAGGCTCGGATCAGAAGGAGACACTGTGAATCCCATAGTAGGTAAATATCCTGTAAATTTGCATTCCATGCACGATGGACTTGTTTTAAGCCATATAGGGACTTCTGAAGTTTGCAGACAAGATCAGGATATGTAGGATCAACAAAGCCTTGAGGCTGCTTCATAAACACTTCCTCTTGGAGCTTTCCATGAAGAAAGGCGTTCTTAACGTCAAGCTGACGTAATTTCCACTGAAATTGAACTGCCTGACTCAAATTCAAAAGAAAAGTAGTGTGTCAAACCACATGACTGAATGTTTCGTCATAATCCAAACCATATTTTTTGGCTACACCCTTGTGCAACAAGCCTGGCCTTATATCTCAAAATGGTACCATCTGCATTCTTTTTAATCTTAAAAATTCACTTGCACCCTACAATGTTTGTATTAGAAGGAGAAGGAACTAGAGTCCAAGTGCCTTGTTGATGAAGGGCTTGAATTTCTTCAGACATGGCTTGTTGCCACTCAGGCTTTCCAAGGGCTACCTTAAAATGAAAAGGTGTATTGGGCTCAGGAATCGAATTAGCAGAAGGTGTAGAAGAATTAGATAAACGAGGCAAGATGACCTCCAGTTGGTCATCTGATAGGACAGACAGCATAGAGGTAGCAGATGTTGTAGCACCAGCAACTGTAGGAGAATCAATCATATTGGTTCTTCTGATTTAACTGCTTTACCAGGCACCTTACATTTCAATACAATATATCATGTCCCTAAGCTTGCCACAAATCTCCTCTCTGTATATCAACTCTGTCGCGATAACAATTGCGGGTTATTTTTTTTTAGCATCACATATTTGTGCAGGACAAACAAACCAACACACTTCTATTTCGGGGTCAGAGTAATAAAGGCCTCTATTCCATTCCTTAGTTCCTTTCATCAGGGTTCAAGGCCTTTCCCACGAACTGTTTAGCTCCATTAGCTTTTTCAGTCGCAAATAAAGAGCATGTCTCTTCCCCAAGTTCATCAACCTCATCGGTTTGTACAGATTCTGTGATTTCATCAGGATCCCATGCTTTGCTTGGACAACAAGTGAAGACTAAACTATGGCATCTTTGATTGGTACATGTCACCGATGAAGTGCTTCAACACATCCTCAAGGCCTCTCACATTTCTGTTTCTCCAGATTCTACATCTTCTCTTTGTGAATCATGTTTACAAGGAAAAATGCATAAATTGCCTTTTCCTTCTTCTTCTACCATATCTTCCAAACCTTTTTCTAAGCTGCACTCCGATGTCTGGGAGCCTTCTACTTGTATTGATTTAGGAGGCTATAGATATTATCTTACACTCATTGATGATTGTACCTGGTTCATGTGGGTGTTTCCTTTAATAAATAAATCAGATGTTTTCTCAATCTTTTGCAAGTTTTATGCGTATATTGTTAATCACTATCAAGCTCATGTTCAATTCTTTCAATTCGATGGTGGAGGAAAGTATACTAGTAAGGTGTTTACTGAATTTTTAGCATCTAAAGGCATCGTTCATCACATATCGTGTCCTTATATCCCTCAACAACATAGAGTAGCCGAGAGGAAAAATAGGCATATCATTGAAGTTGGGCTTGCTCTTCTAACTACAACCAGTCTACCTCTTCAGTTTTGGTATTATGTTGTTACACATGCCACTTTCTTAATCAATAAAATGCCAAGTCGTACTCTGCACATGCAATCTCCATATTCCAAATTATATGGTACATTACCAGATTTGCTTTCTCGTAGAATATTTGGTTCAGCAACTTACCCTTTGCTCAGACCTTACAATACACATAAGCTTGAACCTTACTCCCAGCAATGTGTTTTTTTGGGGTTCTCAATGGGATATAAAGGAGTTTATTGTTACAATCCTCAAAATCAGAAAGTTCTAATTTCTAGACATGTAATCTATAATGAAGATGTATTCCCCTTCAAGGCTTAATGATATTCTTCTCCATCTATTATGTCCCCAGTCCTGGTCATTATGCCATCACCACCACACTCTTCCTCTGAGTCTCAACCTTTATCAAGTCCTAGCATGGATTATACTACCTCACACAGGTTTTCTTCTACCATTTCTGATTCTCCTACAGTTGATGGTGCTACAACCTCTACTACTTATATGTTGCCTGTACTATCAGATGACCAACTGGAGGTCATCTTGCCTCGTTTATCTTATTCTTTTGTGCCTTCTGCTCATTCAATATCAGCTGGTACCAATAATTGCCATCCTATGCAAACTCGGTCTAAGTCTGGTATTATCCAGCGTAGGCAATTTCTTGAATACTCGAGCTTCATTACTTAGCTTCATTCTATTTCTGAGCCCGATACACCTTCTCATTTTAAGGCAGCCCTTGGAAAGCCTGAGTGGCAACTAGCGATGTCTGAAGAAATTTAAGCCCTTCAACAAAAAGGCACTTGTACTCTAGTTCCTTCTCATTCTAATACAAACATTGTAGGGTGAAAGTAGACTTTTAAGATTAAAAGAATGCAGATGGTACCATTTCGAGATATAAGGCTAGGCTTGTGGCACAAGGGTATAGCTAAGAATATTGGTGTCACATCCCGGGATCGGCTCCACCATAGCACGATATTGTCCCCTTTGGGCCCCTTGCCCTCACGGTTTTGTTTCTAGGAGCTCACGAGCAACTTCCCAATGAGTCACCCATCATGGGATTGCTCTAGCCCCAACTCGCTTAACTTTGGAGTTCTCATGACTCCGAAGCCAGTAAGCTCCCGAAAGGCCTCGTGCTAGATGGAGGCGGGCATGTACATATAAGGCACATTACCCCCTTCTCCGTTGATCGATGTGGGATGTTACAATCCACCCCCTTAAGGGCCCGACATCCTCGTCGGCACACTCGCACCACATGGCAGAGTGGCTCTGATACCAAATTGTCACATCCCAGGATCGGCTCCACCATAGCACGATATTTTCCGTTTTGGGCCCCCTGCCCTCACGGTTTTGTTTCTGGGAGTACACGAGCAACTTCCTAGGGGGTCACCCATCCTGGGATTGGTCTAGCCCCAACTCGCTTAACTTCGGAGTTCCTATGACTCCGAAGCCAGTGAGCTCCCAAAAGGCCTCGTGCTAGATGGAGGCGGGTATGTACATATAAGGCACATCACCCCTTCTCTGTTGGTCGATGTGGGATGTTACAATTGGTTTAGATTATGACGAAACATTCAGTCCTGTGGTTTGACACACTACTATTCGTTTGATTTTGAGTCTGGCAATTCGATTTCAATGGAAATTATGACAGCTTGACATTAAGAACGCCTTTCTCCATGGATAGCTCCAAGATGAAGTGTTTATGAAGCAGCCCCAAGGCTTTGTTGATCCTACATATCCTAATTTTGTCTGCAAACTTTGGAAGTCCCTATATGGCTTAAAAGAAGTCCCCTATGCATGGAGTGCCAAATTTACAGGATATTTACCTACTATGGGATTCACAGTGTCTCCTTCTGATTCAAGCCCCTTTGTCAAGAAAACTTCATATGATATTCTTATTCTTCTATTGTACGTTGACAACATCGTCCTCATAGACTCTAATCTTGAGCTTGTCAACTCTGTTATTCATGATCTTGGGGAAATTTTCGAACTCAAGGATATGGGATAGCTCAAATATTTTTTGGGACTTGAGATTCACTATCAGGCTTATGGCAAGATGTTTGCCAATCAGGCTAAGTATGCTAAGGATTACTCAAGAAGGCTGCCATGCATAGGTGTAAACCCTGTAGTACACCTTTCAAACCTCGTCAGCAAGCTTTGACATATGATGGTCTTACTCTCAATGATCCTACATTGTATCGCAGTATTGTTGAGACAGTAAGTATTTAACCTTTACTCATCCAGACATAGCCCTCACAGTTAATACAGTCTGTCAGTTCATGCATAAGCCCACTGATATTCATTTCCGCTCTGATACCATGAAGGAATTTGAGGTTCCACCCCAAAACCAATTGGCAATAGGGGGATAGCCCAACTCCTTATTAGCCCTTGATAGGTTTATCAACTTTTTAATATGGGACTTATTACCATACCAAAATCAATTGGCAATGGGTGAAGTAGCTCAACTCCTTATAAGTCATTGCTAGGTTTCTCAACTTTCCAATGTGGGATATTTTTCACTTCACATTCTCACCGACTCCGCATGTGTGGCGTATTTTCAAGCCAAACATGTGGACAACACATATTGGGTGACATGGAGCAAGTGTGGTTGTTGGGCTTTCACACATGGGCTAACCGGCTCTGATACCATGAAGGAAGTTGAGGTTCTACCCCAAAATCAATTGGAAATGGGGGGGAGTAGTTCAACTCCTTATAAGCCCTTGCTAGGTTTCTCAACTTTCCAATGTGGGACTTTTTACCTTCACATTCTCATACGCCCCAGCACGTGTGGCGAATTTTCAAGCCTAACAGGTGGACAACACATTTTGGGTGACGTGGGGCATGTGTGGCCATTGGACTTTCAAACGTAGGCAACCCACTCTGATACCATGATAACCATGGTGGAAAGAGAGTATTTCATATCTAGGTTTAGACAGAGAAAAGAATGATGAAATGAACTACACCAAGCTTATATAGCTATGTAACAATGACTTCTTTACTAAGCTAACATGCTTAATAGACTAACTAATCAAACTAATAAGCACGTGAAGAGCTAACAAACTTGCCACCTAAGCAAGAACACGTGTCAGCACATCATACTGTTATCACCATTCTCCTTATGATTCCAATCCTCCCATGTTCTTCAACCGAACAGTAGCAGAAAACCTTCGCCAAAATCATCCATTGAATTCTCTCCCATTCTCTCTCTTGCTCCTCAACATGGTATTACTTCCTGATGACCTTTTGTGTGTGTGTTCTTGCGTGAGAGTGTGTGGTGTAGGTGCAAGGGGCAAGGGGGTGTGGAGTTTCTAGGTTAGGTGAGGTGGGGTTACTTGGGTATGGAGCAGTGCAAATGAATAAAGTGAATGATACTGCATTTTTACTGGTATCATGGATTTTTACTAAGTATTGTTGGCATGACTATGAATTTCTAATAAGTTGTCTCCTTTCCCTTGCGTTGACTGCAGTTCCTAGGGAACTTGAGGAATCTTAGAGACTTCCACGCAGCTCTGTCGTATCATTTGACTCAGTTGTGGGTGAGCCCTCGTTTGTCACGAGAATAATCTCTGAATGTGAATCTGCATTGACATTCTTAAATCGTGACCTCGAAATTCTCTCAGCTTCCATTGCTCACGAGCAAGGTGAGGAGGTAAATTTATAACCAAATTATTATAGTCATTGGGAGGAAGGCCGTGAATTCAGTCTCTTCCTCTTCTTATGGGAATGCAAATGTATGTTATGAAAATGTAGTTTATTCATGTTGCACGAAAGCGAACTAAATGTAATATCGATTATGAGTTCATATTGTCAACCATGATAGTCTTTTGTGCTTTGATCTCTTTCCATGTTCATTTGACCAAGAGAGTGGAATTTATGGGAAGAAGAAAATCAAATGTTCCTTTTCATTTTGTGCACGGATTTTTCTGTTCCAAGATTAAAATTAGTGATGGCTTGATTAGAATTGTTGAGCACGGGCCGGCCCAACAATGTCATATTTGGGGATCTGAGTATCATCAGAGTAAATTCTACAGACATGGCGTGATTGCTTATTTACTTTTCAGTAAAATGAAGCATACTCCTAAAACTAATACTTGAGTCTCACTTGGCACATGTGGGTTATGCTAGTTGGTTAGGATAGTGAGTTAAATCCCTTACACTCAAGTTTGTATCTCCATTTCTATAGATGAGATTAATATAGAGTAGTAGATTATGCTTGTATTAAAAATTATAAAATTTAAAAACAAAAAACAAAAAACCTGAGTCTCGTTTGAGTTTCCGAATTAGCCTTAAATTATGTTTCTAGATTTTCTTCTTGCGTGTAGGACTACAAGCACTAGGAGCCCAAAGCCCATTTGGATAGTGAAGGGGAGAAAGAGAAGCGTGAGAAGAAACCAATTTAGTCCTGAATAATTTAGTAGGTGTGCATCTTGTGACCAATTTTGACAGCAATGTACTGAAATTGACTTCAAGAAATAACCACTTAAAAAAAATTAAGCATCTCAAAATTTATAGTAAATTAGGAAAAGCACTATACAAAAACATTTAGAGAGGTAATGGAAAAAAAAGCCCTCAGCTAGCCCCTTAGTGTGTTATAGCATTTCTCCATTCAAAAGTACAAGAAGGTTTTTTCTACAATATTGTGCAAATGTAATGTTAAAAAATTTGGCCAAAAAATAAATTGTAAAGTTAAAAAGGACTTATATGTGAAAAGCCCAAAAATTTAATTGAGGGAGATAAGTGAGATTCAATTATTATTTATCCATTTCTTACTATTGTCCACATGTTGTAGGCGAAAAATTTCAAAATCAACATCAGAAAGAAAAATTTGTTGCTTTTGAAATTTTTCGCATATGTGGACAATACTTCAAAAAATAGAGAATAATACTTGGATCTCTTTCAACTTTGAAAAGAGAAATATTATTAGAATCTTCTTTAAATTATATTTGTACTTTTATTATTAAGGTGTTCAAGTTTTGTCATTTAAAAATTCTATAAAATAAAATAAAAAATTAAACTCCCTCATCCAAACTGTGTAAAGAAATTTCAACTCCAAAATTAGTTAAATTTACAAGAGATTTATCTGTATTTCTTAAAGACTTGTAAAGTTTCAAATCATACAAAGAAATTGAATATTAAAAAAAAGTCTAAGAAACAACCATCCAAGTGCAGTTTCAGTTTATTTATTATCTTATTCAGTCAAGTACTGAATCATATCATTCTCCTCATTATATATACAGTAACACTCAACTGCTAACTAATTATTGAGTTAATAGAACACTAACTATAGGTTTCGCCAAAATTATGAACTTAATTTCGCATCAACTTTTTTTATTTATTTTTCATTTTTGGCACCGCTTCACATGAACTAGGAGAATAATCATTGGCCAACTTCCCTATTTGAAAGAAATGAAAGTTGTGCCAATTGATTGATGCAGACTATACAGAAGTGGAAAAAAAAAACCCAAGAAACTAAACATTGAAAAGGAAGTGCAAGAAGCAAACAAAACCATCACATCTTATATGTACATATAATAACTAAAAAGTAAACAGATTGGAATCAAAATGAGCACCAAGTCAATATGAAAAAGATTGATAGAAAGGAACTCATAACCATTTCAATTTTAATTTTAATTTTTATTTTTTGTGCAAAGTAGAAACAAACTTTATTTATATACTAATATACATCATATAAATCTTTGATTGTCAATTTATTGTGTTCACTGTCCATGGTACACGAAAACACCGTTCATTGTCTCATTCAATTATCATAATAACATTGTGCATTATTATTTTTTTTATTTTTTTATTTTTTTATTTTTTTTTGGTAAGACATAAGAAATTATTGGAAATCCTGCTGAGGACTTTTGTTAGTCTTGCACAATGCCAAGAAAAGAAAACGGATTGGTTGGCAAAATAGTCTATTCGAGGATGACTAAAATATTCATATATATTGGCAAGACTATATCTATATATTTTTGTCATTATTCACGATTATAACAGTTTTATATTTAAATTTATTAAATAATTTTAACACTGTTTTTTAGTATTAACAATACTTTAAAAATATTGTTTACCAAATATGGAGCTGTTTTATTTTACAGCTAATTATTTTCAAAGCACAGCAGAAACAACTTTTTAAAAAGTAACATCAATTCCAAACTAGTCTTTAATCCAATGGCTTTTATTATTAAATACAACTTATATCTTATTAATTTTTCATCTAAATTCTTTTGAAAAATTGGGTGATAATTGGAAAATGCGTTCGCACTTTCATCACTAATTGGAAGTGTCTAAAGATAAGGGATATTTTGGAAAAAGCGAAAGGAGAGAAAAAAAATTTAAAAGAAGCAAAAATGGACAAAAATGCCCTTATTATTTTTAGATTTCCCAAGGAATCTAATACATTTGCATGTCTTTGATTGAAAGTTGAGTGGTTTTTTTGTCTTTTTTGAAAAAGCTTTGGCTTTTTCCAAAAGTGGAATTTTTTTATATCTAAAACCTAAAAACCCTTAAAGGGGGTAATGTGGTCCCGAAAATTCTGTGGTGCATTGGCTGTACCGGTACAGCCACTCATCTAAGGGTTCATATTTCATTTTAAAAATCAAGGGTTGAGATTGAATGACCTGATGACTTGTTCACTCCTTTCTTATTAAAGTCACGTGCACTGGAGCTGCTTCATCTTTGCAATATCTCTCTCTCTCTCTCAAATCCAATCCTCATCTTTGTCCCCAAGTCGGAATCTGAGCATCTCCTCTCTGCCGACACCGTGATGCAAGAACCATCAGAGAGGAGATTGAGTGGGGTGATTCAGTCGAGTTCGACGGGGGTGGTGTGGAAGGCCTTTATTTGAGTAGAAATTCAACGACTTAGTGTTGAATATGGAGTGAGGATGTCTGTGTTGCAGAGCCTTTGATGGGAGAAAAAATTCAACGCCTTGGACTGAATCTTGGTGATTTTTTCTTTTCCCTCTTTTAATAATTATTAATATTTTAATATTTTCTTTTAATTTCATCACAGCATCAGACCCACTGTGATCCTTTCTCCATCAAACCCATGTAATTTTCATTTTATGGAGGATTTGTTTTCTTCCATGTATGAGGTTATGGATTTGTGTTTCAAAATAAGATTTTGAACAATCAGGTTGTTGATTTTCTTTAAAGT